ATCTTCTGATTTTTTTTTTTTTTCCCGTTGGTGGTAACGTCGGCCTATTGAACGACCGATTTTTAATTTTTTTTGTTAAAAAAACGGCCAGTTTTCGACCCATCTATGGCCTGCATTACTCCTACCATTTAATTGTTCTGCTCTTCTCAGTACCACCTTTGTAAGTTTGTATATATATATATGTCATATATGTTTTATATAAGCTGGCCATACACACGTCAGAATTTGGTAAGTTCACCAGGGACTACCAAAAAGCAATAAATGTCATTAAATATATCTATATCATGTACTGGGCATTTTATATTATACATATATATATTAAAGTATATATTTTATCTATTATATATATATATATATATATATATATATATACAGTGGGGATCGAAAGTTTGGGCACCCCAGCTAAAAAGTTGTATTAATGTGCATAAAGAAGCCAAGGAAAGATGGAAAAATCTCCAAAAGGCATCAAATTACAGATTAGACATTCGTATAATATGTCAACAAAAGTTAGATTTTATTTCCATCATTTACACTTTCAAAATAACAGAAAACAAAAAAATGGCGTCTGCAAAAGTTTGGGCACCCTGCAGAATTTATAGCATGCACTACCCCCTTTGCAAAGCTGAGACCTGCCAGTGTCATGGATTGTTCTCAATCATCGTCTGGGAAGACCAGGTTATGTCAATCTCAAAGGTTTTAAATGCCCAGACTCATCTGACCTTGCCCCAACAATCAGCACCATGGGTTCTTCTAAGCAGTTGTCTAGAAAACTGAAACTGAAAATAGTTGACGCTCACAAAGCTGGAGAAGGCTATAAGAAGATAGCAAAGCGTTTTCAGATGTCAATATCCTCTGTTCGGAATGTAATGAAGAAATGGCAGTCATCAGGAACAGTGGAAGTTAAAGCAAGATCTGGAAGACCAAGAAAAATATCAGACAGAACAGCTCGCAGGATTGTGAGAAAAACAATTCAAAACCCACGTTTGACTGCACGATCCCTCCAGAAAGATCTGGCAGACACTGAGTTGTGGTACACTATTCCACTATAAAGAGATACTTGTACAAATATGGTCTTCATGGAAGAGTCATCAGAAGAAAACCTCTTCTACGTCTCACCACCACAAAAATCATCGTTTGAACTTTGCAAATGAACATATAGACAAGCCTGATGCATTTTGGAAACAAGTTCTGTGGACCGATGAGGTTAAAATTGAACTTTTTGGCCGGAATGAGCAAAGGTACTTTTGGAGAAGAAGGGGCACAGAATTTAATGAAAAGAACCTCTGTCCAACTGTTAAGCATGGGGTTGGATCAATCATGCTTTGGGGTTGTGTTGCAGCCAGTGGCACAGGGAACATCTCACGAGTAGAAGGAAAAATGGATTCAATAAAATTTCAGCAAATTTTGGATTGTAACTTGATGCCATCTGTGAAAAAGCTGAAGTTAAAGAGAGGATGGCTTCTAGAAATGGATAATGATCCTAAACACACCTCGAAATCCATGAGGGATTACATCAAGAGGCGTAAACTGAAGGTTTTGCCATGGCCTTCACAATCTCCTGACCTCAACATAATTGAAAATCTATGGATAGACCTTAAAAGTGCGTGACAGACAGCCCAGAAATCTCAAAGAACTGGAAGACTTTTGTAAGGAAGAATGGGCAAAGATACCTCAAACAAGAATTGAAAGACTCTTGGCTGGCTACAAGAAGCGTTTACAAGCTGTGATACTTGCCAAAGGGGGCAGTACAAGATTATTAACTCTGCAGGGTGCCCAAACTTTTGCAGACGCCATTTTTTTGTTTTCTGTTATTTTGAAAGTGTAAATGATGGAAATAAAATCTAACTTTTGTTGACTTATTATAAGAATGTCTAATCTGTAATTTGATGCCTTTTGGAGATTTTTCCATCTTTCCTTGGCTTCTTTATGCACATCAATACAAATTTTTAGCTGGGGTGCCCAAACTTTCGATCCCCACTGTATATATATATATATATATATATATATATATATATATATATATATATATAAATATTTAATGACATTTATTGCCTATTTATTGCTGACTTATATGTACACAACTGTATCGTCTTTTTTAGTATGTTTTTATCTGTATTTGTGTTTTTACACAGTGGCCCCACCTCCCATGTTGCGAATGTCCCGCCCATATGGGAAAGCTCACACATAGATTTGTGCTATATAGAGGAGGGTAGTCTCAGTCTGGTTAGCTCTGAGGAAGAAGGAATCCCCCTTTGAAACGTGTCAGCTTTACCCTGAGAGTCTCCCCTCTTGATGGGATTTGCAGGTGTCTCCTATTCCAGTGCTTTGATTTTGGATTTTATATGCCTTATATATTGCCACTTATGTTAGTATATTTCTTAATGCAATAAATTTACCATTTGCTTACTGAGGTAATGTGCAAGGTTGGTGCGCTTTTGTTTTTGTTCTTCACTACAGTTTGTATCGGGCTTCCCCAGCCTCGTGTTAGAGCTGCACAACCTTTGATCGTTTTTTGGATGAACTTTCATATATTGTTCCATCGGCCCACTTTCTGATCTGGGTGCTTGAGCGCAGGAAGTGTATTTTTTTCTACTGTTCAGTAGGAACACAAAGACAGAGTGCAGGGAGGTGTCAGTGTAAAACAATATTGTAATGAAAAACAATAGCCACTTACCTTGTGGTCTGAAGGTGTCAAATTAGCAGAATGAAGAAATCTATTTACATGACAGTCCAGAGAAATCGCCATAGCAGCATTACATTATTAGCAAACACTCCAGGGAGTACAGAACAGTGAGGTCTCGGCGGGGATCTGAAATTTCACACCGGCCAGCTGTCAAAAACAGCCAGCACTGGCTCAATAGAACCAATCCTCACACAAGAGCACTGCATGCAGCTGACAGGGGGTATACATATGCACACAGAGCAATCAGGCAACGTGTTTCTGGACAATCTTCCCCTTTCTCAAGGCTTGAGGAAGGGCAGACTGCCCAGAAATACATTGCCTCGTTGCTGTATGTCTGCATGTGTGCTCCATATCAGCTGTTTTGAGTTCTCTTGTGTGAAAGGATCAGTTCTAGTAAGCTAATGCCAGCTTTATCTTTGACAGCTGGCTTGAGATTGACTTGAAAAAGTGTTGATTGCCCAGAAACGCGTTGCATGATTACTTTTGGTCTGCAGCTGTGTGCAGCATTCTTCTGTTAGAGGAACGGTTCTATTAAGTGCTGGATTTGTTTTTGACAGTTGGCGTGGTATGAATTTGCAGATCTCTGAGGCTTCGCTATTTTGTACTCCCTGGAGTGCTTGCTGATGCTGTGATGCTGTAATGACGATTTCTCCAGATTATCATGTGAATGGATTTCTTCATGTTGTCTGGTCGACACCTTCAGACCACATTGTAGGTAGCTATTTTTTTTTTTTTTTACATTAACCGCCTCCTGACTGTTCTATAACTGATATACTGCTTCAGGGCAGAATGGGTGCGCAAAATCACGTGTATATATATACGTGATTTTGCATTTCCGGGTAGGGGGCGTGCGTGAGGCACGCATGCACGCACCCTACCTGCGTCGCTGTTCGTGGCTGTCAATCACTGGGTCCCGGCCAGTGATCACTTTCCGGTGCCTGGTGATTGATGAGGATGTCCGACGGGGAGGAGAACTGTATGTAAACAATATAGTTCTGCTCCCTGTCAGCTCGTGCACACTGCTTTGGATGGCTGTGCACAGCACAGCCATCCACAGCAGTGTGATTACAATGAAACACCAAACACACACAGCACAGAGTAAAACAGTGCAGTTAACCCTTTGGTTGTCCCTCATGTTAACCCCTTCCTGCCTAGTGCCATTAATAGTGTCAGTGCTTTTTTTCTTTTTGCACTGATCACTGTATTGGTGTCACTGGGGATGTCAGTGACACCAAGTCCGTTCCCCCTAGTGTCATAATGCGAACTGCAGTCCCGCTATAAGTCGCTGATCGCCGCCATTACTAGTATACCGTAATTTGTAAACGCTATAACTTACACGTATTGGGATTTTGTTTTAGCAAAGAGATGTAGCACAATACATTTTGGCCTAAATTTATGACGAAATTTGATATTTGAAATTTTTTTACTGGACATTTAATAGCAAAAAGTCAAAAATATTGTTTTTTTTTCTCAAAATTGTGGCTTTTTTTTTTTTTTTTTATAACGCAAAATATAAAAAACGCACAGGCGATCAAATACAACCAAAAGAAAGCCTAATATTTGGGAAAAAAATGACATATATTTCATTTGGGTGCAGCGTTGCATGTCTGCGCAATTGTCAGTTAAAGTAACGCAGCCCCATAATGCAAAAAAATGGGCTTGTCAGGAAGGGGGTAAATCCTTAAAAATACTTTTTAACACTGACACCTCCCTGCGCTCTGTCTTTGTGTTTCTACAACCTGTTTATAGCTGGATCATTCCCCAAGATCCATGATGATGCTACGACCGGTGTATGGTGTGACCTTGAGTTGATGACATCCCTTCAGTTAACTGAGGAATATTCTATGGACATTATATGGATCCTTTTTTATTAGATTTGATGACGTTTTTTTTTTTTTTTTAGCTAATTGAAGGCCTCATGCACACTGAGCATCTGCTCAGCTCCTCTGAACACCTTTTCTCCTGGCAGGAAAACATGCTGTTTACAAAACGCAGGCAGTAAAAGCTGTGTAGTGAACATGCGTTTAAGTACGTCCTGTTTTATTTCTGCCGGAGAACTCTCCTGAATACGCCAGTGACTTTTTACATTTTTTTTGCCTTTAACCACCTTCCGCCCGCCATATAGTACAATGATGGGCACAAGGTGGTTCTCTCGTTCTGATAGGACGTTATATGACGTCCTTCCATTCTCACCGCGCATGCGCGGCTCAGGGAGCACGCAGCACGGCGATCGCTGGTGCGCTGTGTCCCCCGGACACAGCGGATCACAGAAAGAGCCGAAGATGTCGGCTCGGTCATGTGATCAGCTGTGTCCAATCACAGCTGATCACATGTAAACACGGTTATCGGCATCTCTCTCCTCTCGAGCTGTCACGCTGATAGCTCAAGAAGAGAGGAGAGCTGGTAATCGGCTTTCCCGCGCAGGGGACATGTGCACTGATCATCAGGGCACTGATGATCAGTGTGCCCTGATGATCGGTGTGGCCCCAGAAGTGCCACCTGTCAGTGTCCATCAGTGCCAGCAGTCAGTGCTCGCCAGTGCCCATCAGTGCCACATCAATGCCACATATCAGTGCACATCAATGCCACATATCAGTGCCCATCTTAGCTGCCTTTCAATGTCACCCATCAGTGCCAATCAGTGCCAGTCAGTGCCACCTATCAATGCCAATCAATGCCACCTATCAGTGCCGCCTAAGAGTGCCAGTCAGTGCCGCCTAAGAGTGCCAGTCAGTGCCGTCTATCAGTGCCAGTCAGTGCTGCCTATCAGTGCCGCCTATCGGTGTCATGTATCAGTGCTGCCTTTCAGTGCCTGTCAGTGATGCCTGTCAATGCCCATCAGTGCATCCTACCAGTGCCTCCTTATCAGTGTCCATCACTGCAGCCTCATTAACGCACATCAGTGAAGGAGAAAAATCACTTATTTACAAAATTGTATAACAAAAACTAAAAAAAAATTTTTTTTTTTTCAAAATTTTCAGTGGTTTTTGGTTTGTTTAAGAAAAAATAAAAACCCCAGAGGTGATTAAATACCACCAAAAGAAAGCTCTATCTGTCTAAAAAAAATGATAAAAATTTCATATGGGTATAGTGTTGCATGACCGCGCAATTGTCATTCAAAATGTGACAGCGCTGAAAGCTGGAAATTGGCCTGGGCAGGAAGGGGGTATAAGTGCCCTGTAGGCAAGTGGTTAAGCAAACCTCTTCTATTATGCCTGTAATTGCCCATGTGTGCATGGACACATAGGCTAACATAGAGATGTGTCTACAGGCAAAAGAAAAAAATAAACAAAACACCAAATGCCTGGTAAAGCTGTGTTTTATAAGCCCAATGTGTATGAGCCCTTGTATTTCTTTGTTTTCTGAGTTCCCTATTATATGTAGAGTAGCTGGGGGCTTGGCTACTCGTCCACATTGAGCGCTCCAGTCTCACATGTATTTTTTTTTCATATACTTGACCCTCATGTAAACTATCTTGAGACTTTTGAGTTTTGATGAGTTTTTGCTCTTGATAGTAGGGATGCACCGAACTTTCCGTGGCTGAAACGTTTTGGCCGAAAAACACCCATTTCGGCCATTGGTTGAAATGAAAAAAAAAAAGCACCGATACAGATGCCGAAAAAAAACCCCGCCCCTCGCCACTGCCCCTCGCCGCCACCCGCCCCTCGCCTTTGGCCGCTGCTCGGTAGTTTAGACTTACCTGAGAAACCATTGATCCCGGTGCTGGGCATAGAGATGAGTGAAGGAAAGATGGGCGCCATACACCTCTATGCCCTTGGTGGACCGGATCGATGTCACTTCCTGTTCCATCCATTTTTTTTTTTTTTTTAAAGCACTAGATCAATGCTCTTTTTTTGATCCAATGCTTTACATTGCAGAGGAGAGATATGGGGTCTTATTGACCCCATATGTCTCCATAAAGAGGACCTGTCACTAATTATTTCTATCGCAAGGGATGCATGCATATCTTGTGATAAGAATAAAAGTGATTCAAATTTTTTACAGTGCAACCCCCCCCCCAAAAAAAAAAAAAAACATTAAATGGTTTTTAAAAAGTTTAAAGTGCCCAAGTCCCCCCGTGCTCGCACATAGTGGTGAACGCATACGTAGGCCATGCCCACATATGTAAATAGTGTTCAAACCACACACGTGAGGTATCGCCATGAACTTCAGAGCAAGAGCAATAATTCTACCGCTAGACCTCCTCTGTAACTTTACACTGCTAACCTGTGTAAATTTTTAGTACCGCAGTTTCACACCATTCCATGAGCGTGCACAATTTTAAAGCGTGACATGTTGGGTATCTATTTACTCGCCGTAACATCCTCTTTCATATTTTACAAAAAAAAAATTGGGGTATATATTTTTTTTTAATCAAAGTGTATTTTTTTAATAAAAAATATATATTCATTTTTAAAAACTGTGCATTTCGGTTTCAGTTTTCAGCCAAGTGCATTTTGAATTTTCGGTTTTGGTGCCAGAATTTTCATTTCAGTGCACCACTAGTTGATAGTGTCAAACACGATAGTGTTTGAAGGTGATGTGTCAAGAACAACGTTGGATACCAATAAAACATAATCAGGGAATACAATTAAAGCAACTCTTTCAAAAACTGGGAGCATGCAGGCTTTTTATTTCAGGATAGACATGCAATGTCTCTTCTGCATTAAAAGAAACATGCTTGCTCACAGTCTGCTGTAGAATGTGCACTGTGGTGCCCAAGCACAGCTCAATTTACATTCTGGCACAGAGCCAATGGGGAAGATTTACTAAAATCTTCCCTATACAAAATCTGGTGCAACTGTGCATAGAAACCAATCAGCTTCTAGGTTTTTATTTTGAAAGTTTAATTGAACAAGTTGTCATTAAAAGCTAATTAGCTACCCAGGGATGGACTGACAACTCATGGGGCCCCTGGGCAATAGGGGATCTTGGGGCCCCTGTGACCTCTCCCACACTCAAACCACACCCAAAAAAGCCTATGAAAGTTACAGGGGCATCTCATGGGCCCCCTACTGACCCTGGTCCCTCGGAGTTCCCGAATGGTCAGTCCGCCCCTGTACCTACCATGCACCAGATTCTAAATGCTCCAGTTTTAGAAAATCTCTCCCTTTATGTCAGGATGACTGTATTCTTGCACATGTGTAGGAGTGTTGTCAGCCTGCAAAGGCCAATGAAGACAGCCACGTCCAGCACCAGAATAAAGCTGGGTGGAGGCTGCTGACGAGGGAAAGGTAAGTATTGCAGAGTTTAGCTCTACTACTGCTAAACGATGGCAGTAAAGTCTGCCATACACAGCTTGGTTTTCTTTCAAGTTTCCAGCAAGCTGAAGAGAAAATCAATTGATTCCCCCCCCTGTTGTTAACCTAAACGTGCAGAGCTTTGGTTTTGTACTTTATTTTGCATGTTCACAATATTTGTGCTATTTGCTTATTATTTCATTTTTCACTTTACCTGAGCGCAGATTTTTCCCCTATTTCTTTCACGTTAATTTCTCTGCTAGCTATTGTATCCAGGTAGTCATGGCCCCCGTAGTCTCAGTGACTGCATGTGAAAGGATGCAGTTACTGTTTGCCTGATAATTTTCCGATCGACCCAATCAATTTTTAAATGTACTTTCTATTGTGCTGGGTCACCCAAGGCTCAGATTTTGGTTGAATCTGTGGGAATTGCCTAAAATTTGAGCAGTCTGTGGGGACCTCAACAGAACAATTCCAGGGAGCAAGTGAAATAAATCAGGTACCTGCCAATGCTATTTTCAAGAGGCAGAGTGTAGGTTTAGGCTATATTTGGTTGTGTAATGGAAACATTGGGTATAGTTCAACAAATGTGTCAGTGCCATCACAGTTCCACATCAAATCCCCAAATCTAAAATGCTTAAGCCCCATACACATGATGAGACTATCAGACAAATGATCGTCCATTTTTTTTTTTTTTTTTTTTTTTTTTTTTTGCGTGCTAGTCTCATATTAAAAGTAAAGTGGTTACTAAAGTTACTAAAATTCTTGTACTACAGAATAAAAATTCGGAAGTGATGTATTGTTTTGTATTTTCAGACGAAAGCTGCATTGATTAAACAAAAGTTGTACAATCTGGTATCATGATGTGAATGTACAATATATATGTAAAGCACTGTGTAAATTGACGGCGCTATATAAGTACCTGAAATAAAAAAAATAAATCAAATCATATGAGAAAAATCTTTGTGCCTGTCCCTTCGAATAATTTCGGACAAAGGCTGTGTACTATCAGATTATCGTATGAATGCTTCCAACGTGGTATTTTTCATACAATTTTTTGATCCTATGTACAAGGCTTTACTCTTGCCTTCCATTTGCATACTGATGTAGTTAGGGTTGCTCTTGGAAGTCATGAAACTAGCCCTGTTACAAAATCCCATATATTCTAGGCTTTTAAAATAAGGCAAAAAATTATATTTTTTTTCTATTGCATAAATGTAAATGCCACTAGTCTTACTGTCGTATCATTGTCAAACTTGCCCTCAAGCATAATTTCACTCTCTATAAAGGTCATTTCTCTAATCAAACTTTCAACGTGTACTTGAATATTTTAATTTCTTGTTACAAACATACTTATTCCATATGATTAGTTATTTGCCCTTTTCACAAAGCCTTCTTTAAAGGGAAACTATTTTATGTTGGCACACCTCTTCCTTAGTTATGATTCATTTTGCCTTGGAACCCCTTCATAAATTTAATTTTCTACTGTGCGAAACACTTTGTTCAGGAAATGGTAATACTAGAACAAACTTGATGTCCTCTCACTTTGTGGACGATATACGAGATTGAGGTGTGAACATTAATGTGAAAGGAAAAACTGAAATTTTGCCCTTTGCAATCAATGTAATTAACCACTTACCACCCACTCACATTAAATGTAGAGCGGGCAGCAAGTGCAGGCTCGGCTAGCATTCAAATATGTTGCCGGCTTTCTTCCATTTGGAAAGTGTGTAACTGCAGCTCTCCACCCCCTGGTTTGTGAGTCTGTGAAAAATCATTTTCATCTCTGAATTTTACAAGGATGTACAGGACAAATGGGTGCAGATAAACAGGTACAACTCATGTAGGAGGATTTGTTTTACCTGTGCTGTAGTAATATGTCCTTTTAATGACTTTAGTAAGCTGTACAGTTTATGATCAGACATTAGTGACTGACAATGAACAGCAATAATGCACAATAAGCAGTCAGTATTTAATGACATTCAGTTACCCGATAATAAAAGCATCCTGTAAATTAGGGGTGTCAAACTCCATTTCATCGTGGGCCGTATCAGCATTATGTTTGCCCTCAAAGGGCCGGTTGTATCTGTAAGACTAGATATCTAGAGCACTCCACCCCAATTACATCAGATGTCAAGAACCCCACACCCTCCCTAACATCACTGTGTTCCCCCTTTGAGGGCAGAGCTGGAAAGCAGAAAGTGCAGGGTCTGGAGGAGGACCAGAGGAGGAGTGGAGTCAGTTACCAGAGTCTGCTGAATGCTGAGACCAGGGGAGGTAGAGCTGAAGAGGTGCTGCAGCTGCACTGAGAGGTGCAGGATTTGACAGAGCAGTTCTATTCTCTCTGCTGATGACTGCTGAGTTAAGGTGGGGGTGGAGACAAGGGGCTACTTACAGGAGAGGTACAAGCACCATCTGAAATGACCTGGAGGGCCGG